AAAAAAAAAAAAAAAAATATGTGGGGGGGGGGGGACTCCAGGGTTTTCCATGCCTCCTTCTAAACTCCTTTCCCCATTGTAGATTCAGATATGCTCCGTGCTGAGTTAAGTTTAAAAACAACTCTACAGATTATCTTACACATTTTTTGAACAGGTTGGCTCTATGTTGAGGGAATGTTCAATTTCAGAACGTTTTCTCCATAAGCTATGGAGATATGGAGAACAAGGATCTCCTGAATTAGCTTGGCCATTTTCTCCTGCTCTCAGAGATCTCAGAAGATCTCAGAAGATCTCTGAGCCCTATTTGATCAAATTCCCAGCAGTAATTTCTTGCCATAGATTAGGATCTTCCTTATCACTTCAGTCTGGGGTTTCAAAATGTTCCAGTGTGTATGAAGGAAAAAGAATAGCATCTCAATACAAGCATTGGAAGAGAATCAAAGTTTGGCTGGCATTGATTGGATTGGGGCTACATCCTGTTAAGGGGCAAAAGCTGTGAATTAAATATGCATGTAAAGATGATATATAAATAAACACCTCAAACTTTTCCAAATTAAAGATTACCTTATAGTTTACAGTTTGTGGTAGGGAATATTTCATGTCCTATTCAAGTTAGAATCTGCTTTCTATACGTGCAGTCCAGCTATCTGAGATAATGCTACATCATTTTATAAAGGATAAACCAGTGTTTTTCAAACTTGGCAACTTTAAGATGTGTGTACTTCACCTCCCAGAATTCCCCAGTCAGTACATCTTAAACCTGCCAAGTTCGAAAAACGCTGGGATAAACTATCAGCTAAATGTTGGCCCAATCAAGTTTCCCTCTAAGTTCATCTTGTTTGCATATAAGAGGCTCAACTATGCACTTTTTAAAATAATTTATAGGGTGCTCGGATCAAATTAATTAGAAGGAATATGATAGACTATTAAAAAGCATTTTCAATTTTTGAGTATCCAAGAGAGATGGTTGTCCAAACTGGCTTTGAAAGGAAACATTCAGATTTGCCACATGACCTATTCCCTAAACAGTTTTAAGTTTACCTTTTATGCAAATAATCTAGCAAAAAGATTCCTTTTTAAAAATACTTTTAGCTGATGAGCTAATGCATTAACCTAGTTTTTCTAAATGGAAAAGAAAGTGTTTGATCCCATTTTGATACGCAATTGGATATTCCCTGCTAGGATGCATACATTGCCTTCCGTAAAATAGATAGGAACAATGATGGTATAATCACAATGCTTGATTTCCGACGCCTGCTGGACAGTTTGATGATCAGCCTGGTAGATGAGGAATACGTGCGTCTTCTTTCTCTCTTGGGAATGAATGAGGCCTCTACCCTGAATTATCCAGAATTCCTCCAGTTGTTCCAAGCTCATGCAACTAAAGAGATGCGTCCTTGGCTGACCTCATCTTACAGGTAAGAAGAACAGCAAATTGGTCTACTTTGATTTACATTATCATTACATTAGTCTGAAACAAATTCATATTGGACACAAGAAACGTTGTGTAGGATACTAAGATGTAAGGTAATTTAGGACACAAAATATTTCAGGAAAGAATCAGAAATCGTTTTGTTCTTTTGGGTAGGAATTTAAGCGTATCTGGCAACGTATTAACCAGTGAATGAATACATTCTGGCTCTTTAAAGACTTTTTAATAGGTTTAACAATCAAGCATTTCCATAATTACCTTTTTCAGCCATTATACAGATAGGTTTTTTTTTAAATACCTGTCAGCCCCACCAAGTAGACCAGACCAAGGGTCAACTCCAGAGGAAGATTAGGGCCACTCTTATTGAGAGCGGCTCTAATAACAGAATCTTGCCAGTCTGATTGTGCTGGGTCTCCTCCCCTTCTTGTACCCGTGTGAATTAGGGAGGTGTCTGTCTGGGCTTATGCAATCTTTCTACTTGTTTGGGACTTAAGCTGTACTTTTCTCCTTGTCACTTTGATAATGCATCTGGCTTATCTCTGTCACGGTCATCTTCCTTGCCCTGTACAGTGACTTAGTAAATCAAATTTGTTTATTCAGAAGATTCGGTTCCAGTGTGCTAAAATGATCTGTTTCCCAACAGGATAGATTTTGAGAGATCTATAATATTTTTGTGCTTTCTAATTGGCAACTATATGTAACACCTCAAAATCCAAAACAGTTTTAGATACAACCCAGGGATGTCCATGGTGAGAGCGCTGAACGAATATTTTGACCAGTCCTCAAAGTTGCGGCCGTTGCAGCACCCTCATGGTCATGTGATCAAAATTTGGGCGTTTGGCTGCCCGCCCGCATTTATGACCACAACGTGTGCTTCAACTCCCACCACCCACCTATCTCCCCCTGTCTCTGCCCTTTTGGCCACCCTGCACTCCTCCACCTTGCCACCCCCAGCTGACCTTCACTGTTTTCTTGCTCACGCCCAGCTAAGGCAGCTGCTGGCAAAGCTTTGCGAAGGGCCAGCAGCTGCTTCAGCTGGGCTCACCTCATCAGCAGTGGGAAGAAGATGGAAAAGGTGGGGGTGGCAGGAGTAGGTAGCTGTGGCAGAGTGCAGGATGGCCAAAAAGTGGAGATGGGGGGGAGATAGGCGGTTGTGGGGAGCTGAAGTGGAGGCAAGCATGGCAGAGCAGGAGAAGCGTGAAGTCCTTGCCTAATGACCACAACCAGGACTACTGGTACTGCCATCATTAAGCGTAATGTTTTGCCTAATGACCACTTCGCTTAGTGATGGAAATTCTGGTCCCAATTAGGGTCATTAAGCGAGGACTACCGTATTTGATACTGAACAGCAGAAGCAGCAGTGAGTTTTTGCTTCCAGTTCTGAAGATGCTGTGTTCCGGTGTTAATAATTTTGGTTGACAGTAACTTGGTTAGAATGCTTTATCTTTTTACTGTAGAATGCTTTAACTTTTTAGTGTGAACTGACAAAAGGTTTTCATAGTTATTAGTATGTCAGCCCTTCAAGGTAGGCCAGGGCAGAGAACAGACCCCAGAAGAAGTACAGCTTTATTGATGTAGGACATAAAAAACTTCCGAGATTCTGAAAGCTGGACAACGTTTCCCCATTCCTCCCTCTTACGCCGGTGAGATTCAAGGCAGGGCCATCTTGAGTTTCTTTTTCACGCTCTCCTGTTTCTTGGGCTACGTTCCTGTTTTTCCTAAGGGCTGCTGCGTAGTTTCTTAAAGGCCGTATCTGCGTTCCTCCTCATATATAAAATCAAGGAAGGGGAGATCGGCAGCGTGCAAAATTAAGTTGCAGTCCTTACTCTCTGATGTCTTCCATCACATCTGAAGTTGTTCCTGGACATTGCCGGCACCCTGAAAGGAGAGAAGTGGAATCCAAGGGAAACGTTTGTGTTCTAGCCTTTCTTAGCATGGGGCAATCTCCTCATGTTGAAATATTCTATAAGAAAACGTGTTTAGCCAACGTTTGGTTTGCCGGCTATCAGTCACTCTAAACAGTGGCACAGATGTCACTCTAGCCGTTCAAGTATTAGATATATTCTGTTGCAGCTGGGAAACTACAACTGGTTTAAAATGAAGATGTCAAACGATTTGGGGCACGACCCAATCGGAGTGCCTAACGCTGAACAATTTTTTTCAAGAAACAATTTTTCAAGAACACTTTTTTTCAAGAAACACTCTTGTGTCCCAAGTGTCCAAACATTCACGTCCACACCAGAAATCCTTTTCTCCCTCAAATGGAGAGACATGAGATCAGATGGACTTCTATGGGAGATAAGGCCTTGTGGGTGGTCATGCCGTATCTGTGGAATAATCCACGGAGAACCAGTAAGAAAGTTTGGGCTACACCTTTTTTTGGTTTTTAGGAGTCTATTGAAGAGTTTTCACTCAAGATTTATGCGTTCTACAATCTGCTCCTTGTAGGATTTTGGGTTGCTGATTTTTAAATTGGTATTTAAAGCTCTTGTTTGTGTTTAATTATAATGCTTTCAATTGCACTGTTATTTCTGAAAGCCACTTTGTTTTTCAGGGAAGTGAGATATAAATAAATATTCCATTATACACTTCTCGATGCAAAGCCTGAAGTGTAACCACTTGATTTTCAACGTCCTGTAGCTCAGCTGTAGAGTAACCAAGGCAACCATATAAAAAGTTTTTAAAAAGTCCTTATCACAGATCCACACTAGTGGAAAATGGATGAGAAATCAGGAAAACCACAGCAGTTTTTTGAGATCATACCTGGAGTCCTGAGTACAATTCTGGGCCGTGCATTTCCAGAAAGATATTGACAGGTTAGGACAGGCAAGCAGAGGTGACAAAGATGATATTGGGCCTATGAGGACAGGCTGAAAGAACTTGGGATATTCAACCTGGAGCAAAGAATTTGGAGGGGAGAGATGATGACAGAGTTCCAGTACGTGCAGAGAAGATGGCCAGGAACTCTTCTTCATTGGCACAGAAACTGGGTACAGCTACCTAAATGTCGTTTAAGTGTAAGGACAAACTTCCTGACAGTAAGATTTACGCAAGAGTCAAACAGTCTACTTACAAAGGCTGCAGGTTCTCCATACCTCAAGATTTTAAAGCAGAAGCTGGACAACCACATCTCCTAGATGGGCTAATTGGTTTTCCTGCATGTTGCAAATGTGTTCCCTTCCAACTCCATCAGGATCCTGTGACAGCATTTTGGCTTTCTCTTGGGTGGTGGAACGAGTAAAGGGAAGAAAACACAGGGCTCTGAAGAATGTTGCAGGCAGAATTAAAAAGAAGAGAGATGAGATCAATGTTTAAAAATCGAGGAAGTAGCAAAAGGTTTCCTGGCATAAAAAGCAGCATATCTAGACGGGAGGGACTTCACGCAACCTTTTTTCTTGGTGGGTTCAGATGTAAAATCTGACAATCCTGCCTCTGCAGATGACTGTTCTTCATTTACTCTGTTGGATGGACAAGTGGCAATGCTTGATTTACTGCTCTGGAGAAAGGAAGCAATTTTGATTGGAAGCCATGGCTTTTCCTGTGGGGAGTTCATCGATAATTTATGCCAACTTCTTCATCTTGTTTCAAAATAGGTGCTAGAGAAAAAATGTAAATGGGTTATTACCTCATTCTTCCTTATATGGTACAAAGTTATCCATATATATATATCCAGACTACTTTGGATATATATTCAAACTGATGGCTACCAACTGTAAACCTGATAGATTAGTCTTGCCTGTCTGGACCTTTTGGTTAAGATCAGGTTTATGCATCATATGAAGGACCATCTGTTCCCATACCATTTTATATTCCTCTTAGGTTGTTCTTCTCTGTCCCCCTTGATATCTGAGGCTACAGAACGCTCTTGAGTAATTGGACCCTTCCTTTTCCTTTTCCTTTTCCTTTTCCTTTTCCTTTTCCTTTTCCTTTTCCTTTTCCTTTTCCTTTTCCTTTTCCTTTTCCTTGTAAGAGGCAACCAAAGAGTGTGCTGTCTTTGAGTAGAGCTAGTCATTTTATGGCTACATCCGTGTTGGCTTTCTGGCCACAATATGGTTGCAGCTGCTGTGGACTTCTGCAGCATTCCAACTTCCACATCTAGTCTCCATCTTTAGGGTTTTCTGGGTGGTTGCCCATCCTTTCTGGCCACAATATGGTTGCAGTTGCTGTGGCTTGTTTTTAGTTTACTACTTTATTCTGCTTTCAGGGCACTGCTTTGAAACAATATTTTTATGAATTTGCCTCCCTGATAAGCAGCTTATACATTTTAATATAAGTATGAACATACACAGATATTGTATTCTTATGCCCGTGCTTATTTAATATTATTAGTGTCTATAATATAGTGGTGTCAAATGAGTCAATCACAAATATTGACTTGTATATTTTTAATCTTTATAGCTTAAAAGCCTAAACATAAAAATAAAGTATTTTAGAAATTAAAAGAATAGCTTAATCTGTGGGTGGCTCATATGGGTAAAGAAACTGATTCCTCTGGTTATTCCATTTCACCCTAGTTTTGTACTAAGTGTCACTTAAAAGGTGTAGTGAAATAGTGCTTAGATAAAAATCAGCTTGAGATATTTAGCCTTAATTATTTTTGTGATAAATAAAAGTGCAGTTAGGCTTTGGCGTCAAGTGGAAGTTAATTTGAAATTGCTGGATTAGCCTTTGATCTTATTTGCAAGGTATTAAAACTGGCTTTGGCCTGCAAGAGCTGTGGAGGGAGAGGATGGCTTACTAATTTTTTACATTAAAAAAAAAAAATCAGTAAGGCTGAGCCCGTAGGAGGGAATAGGATATAAATCAGAAATAAACAATTCTGCATAATACAGCAAAGTTTAGGGAAACTGGTAGAATCAGAATTTGATAGAGCTGTAAGTGGGAAGAACTTTTTTTTAATTCTCAAGCACAAGGAGCAAAGTTCCCCCTGAGTTGCATCTGGAGATTGATTGTCCATCAGCAGCCACCATTTTCTTTGTAATTTTCTTTGTCACTGATAATAATGTCACGGAAGGACAACTATTTTAATCTTCTTACCGAAAGAAAGGAATGTAAGCTGTTCAGAGTCCTTCTAGACTGGAGTGGCATAGAAACCCAGTAAATACATAGAATAAATTGGTGTGGCAATCTCAACCACTCAGGTTGAAAAGTGTATGCCCAATAAAACCAGTGGAGTTGTCCAAACATGAAGAACACTCTTTTTCTTAATGTTTCAGGTGACTGTAAGATACACACCCACAAACACCTACATGATGCCTGAAGGGACACAACTTAGTTTTCTCCCATCACATTCTTCTACTTCATCCTGCAAAATATGTACAGCAGATTGGCTGTTGGCCCAAGTGAAATCGATGGGAGTCTTCTAGTCACAGTTATGGGCTGTTCTTTTAGTTTCAGTGTAACCCTCTATTAAACTAAGTGTGAGCCATAATTGTAGGCTTCTTGTTCGTGGAGTTGGGATGAATCTGAGTGGCTTAATGCTTTCTTCTCTATCCATATCTCTCCACTCTACAAATCCAATCTTGCTTTTCTGTTCTTCTCCGTCTGTCTAGTTTCACGCTCATCCCACCAAGCTTCCAAGCATAGGTTGATTCTTCAAGTTAACCCCACTGACCTCACATATGGGTTGAATTCACCCAAATCAATAAAGTGCAATTCTTTGTTTTATTTTTTAAATTGATCCACAGCAAGCAAGGATGCTGTGGCACAGTTGAAAGAAAGCCCAAACGACAAAACTCAGGAACGCTCCATCACTGGCTATTTGATATTATCTGCCAGAAAGGATCCTGGCAAGCTAGAATGATCAACCAGTCATTTTTCCAGGTTTCTTAAGGGAACAAGAAGCCAGGAATGTACATATAACTTAACAAAGGATTGAGACAGTTGCCTAACCCTAACCCTAACCCTAACCCTAACCCTAACCCTAATCCTAGCGTGGCTGCTGCTTGCTCTGAGGGCCACCTGGGCAAAAGCATGCTTGTCTGCTTAGATGAAGGGCTGCTGTGTTCAGCATAACTTCTGAAACAGCAAAGACAGATAACCTGCACAGCAGAGATCACAAACAAACAGATCTTGCAGCTTCTCAGTTGTTCTCAGTGGCTTTAGTTGATTTTCACAGTGGATCTGCCATGGCAATTTTCCAGCGATCATAATTTGCCAGGGTTGCACTGGATCCCACAGGCAATTTGTTTCCTTAGATCGTTGCTTTGATTTACAAACATTTTCCCTTTAAATTTCAGCTGCAATTAAGCCATTTGACCAATCTGCATTTGCATATGTTGACGAAGATTAAGGGCAGTTTTAAAGAGATTGTTGCTAATTTGCAGCTGGAGGAGGGTGGGAATAATTGTAAGGAAGTCATTTGTATGCAAATCTCGGAGGTAAGATCTCTTAGAAACGCTCCGTACCCAATATGAAAAGAAAACAAACAAACAAAACTTGGGGGATGTTAATGAACCCATTTAGAAAAAAATAATTTTTGCTTTCCGAGACCCAGACGGATGGCAGCAGAGGCAGATCTCGCTTGTGAACAGGCTCATTGCTATCTTAGCATCAAAGCACAGAACAGATGGAGTGACCTGGCTATGGTAAGACCCACGTAGCTTTGAAACAGATACATGCGCCTCCAAATGCTTTCAGGGCTTCATAACAATGCTTAGCTTTGATGGTCTGTGGGTTTTTAATGGTTGTTAAGAAGCAGCCCTCTGAAGCAAGCATTCCACAAACATAAACAAATAGCTCATTAACGATCAAGAGGAGTAGTAAGCTTTAAAATAATGTATTTCACTGTCTGGTTTTAAGTTGCTGAGCTGTTCAGATTTTTTAGAAGACAGAATACAACAGAGTCTATATCCCATTATGGTTATTTATGCAAGTAGATTGTTGGTGGGAATGGGACTGCAGGGCAAAGGAACTCCAAACTTGATTGTTGAAATAAACCTAGAGGGCTTATTCCATCAACCTCTTATACCCCAAACATTTTGCTAGGTGTAAGAATCATCCGTACTGGATCCTGCACAGAATGTGTAGGCTGTAAGTTATAGTGTGATACACCCAAGACAAGTTCCGTCTTGCCACCCGGCCATGTCTCCTGGAGAGTCTATCATCCGATGGGATTGGCAGGGCTCTTCCCACTCTCCACCATGTTCACAGCATGGGCGGAGAAGTCTCTGGCCATCTTTTTGTCTCCAGAATGCCTCTGGGCCTTGACTCAAATGCACTTTGGTGTTAAATAAACAGGGACTGCTGCACTTTGGCCAACACATTGTCACCTACACTTGACGTTGGCCCTTCATGGCAGTCCAGGCCAGAAACCCAACAATGAATCCTAGCTCTATTTTTATTGTAAGGTGACATGAACGGAATTTTGTCAGTCTGGAAGTATTCCTCCCCTCCTTTCCTTTATACACTGTGGAAAACAAGGGAGGACCCCTTAGGAAATGCTTCCCATGTCCCTTCTGCTTCTGTGGACTGAGATACCTTTTGCAGGCTCTTCCTCCTGTCTCACAAGGTCATTCCCACATACCATTACACTTTACATGAAAAAGTTGGGGAGAGGGCAGAGAGAGAGAGAGAGAGAGAGAGAGAGAGAGAAAACCCACATAAACATTAGCCCAGGATTGATGGAATGATCTCACCATATCTTATGGCAGGGCAATCTACAGGGTGAGTCAAAAAAGTCCAGTGGTAGCTCTGAGTGTGCAATAGAAGCACAAGTTTGATCATGTGGTTATGGCCACTATCTTGACATTTTTGACCCTTGTGACACCCTGTCTGATGGAGTAACATGGTAGAGGTCTTTGTCCCCCACCAATGATTATTAAAAGGAGGAAAATGATAGCGGGCAGCGATTTGAAGGTAGAGTCTTTGAGTTTATAGTTGGCTTTTTAAACTCTATTTCCTATGGCCTATTGAAAGTTCTCATGGGGTACATTCATATAATTCATTGCCAGTTTGGAAATGATTAAAATCTGAGTTCAGCCTCAGGTATTAGAGTCTATGCTATATATAGAACTCGAATTTTTGCAGGTTTATTGCTGGATCTGAGCTGTGTAGTCCATCCACTTATTTGCAGAATGGACTGCCCGCCGTTTAGTTGATTATTTTTTTTAGAAATTATTATTCATTGTTATTAATACTTTCTAAAAGATTAAAAAAGAAAAACAAGGGAAAGAAAAAAGGAAAAGAACAATTGATACAGAGATATAGTATCATTAAGTGGACACAGAGGTCACTGAGATTGTGTAGTTAGTGCTCAGAATATCATTGATGGAAAATTAACCATAAAAAAACCCACATTAAGTTATTTTTTACAACAAGATAAGGACTTTAGAGATTTTTTTTTTAATTTCCGAGTCTCTGCTATTTTGTTATTTAAGAATACAAAAAACAAGAAAAACTAAGGTAGAAAGAAGAAAAGCTATGGAAAACATTATAAGCAAACATTTAGTTTCTAACTTCCCCTTGTTGTAGTCCAACAGAGATACAATTCTCTTCCTCAATTGCTGCGTTCTCCATTTCTGATTCTGAGCTCCTATAATTTCTCAAAATCATAGAGGAACTGTTGAATTTTCTTTTTTGTGATTGTGAATAGAAGAGGAAACCTGTGCTTTTATGCTTTTAAAAATTTGTTATTAAAGATACTTTATGTTTTAGCACTTCCATGAATATGACGGTGATGGAAATGCCATTGTTACGAAAAAAGATTTGAAGGACGCCCTCTACAGATGTGGAATCCCAGTGAGCCCCAAAGAATTTGAGAAACTCTGGACAAGGTAAGGTTGTATTAATAGTATACTTCCTAGCATTACCTGTAGACCTTAATATACATCAGGGGGAAAAAAGAGCCGTACTTTTTTTGAATTACTACTCACTGCGATGTCTGCGGGCTTATCTGCACTCGCCTGGTTGATCCGCACTTCCGTAAGGGCTGCTATTTTGGGAGGGTAGAAACAAATGATGGGATCTTCTGTGTTAATTCCCTGCTCTCCATCAAAGTGACCTCAGTCTATGTTTTTCTGCCCTGCTTTTGAAGAACACTTTTCCTTCTTAGGTGGCCTCGAGCACTCCTGTCCCTTTCAGATGGCGGTTCAGTTTGTGGCAGGCTAACCCCAGCAGTTCGTTGCCTACATCACACAGCAACAATTCCCCTTCGGTTGAGTCAATATTTACTATAGCCTGTCATCTCTTTCATAGCTTCCTTTCTCGTGATGCTCTAAGAGTGCAATGGTTGTCATTCTTGCCTTGCAAATAGAATTATTCTCAATTCAAAACCCAGCAGAAACTTGATTTTTTTGAAAAATTACTATTGTGCTTTCCCTGCATGTCCTACTTTTTCCTATCCTTTTTTTTTTTTTAGAAGTCCAGTGATGCACTGGGCTTCTTTTTTTAAAAAGCGTGAGCAATTGTGGGACGCTTAGGGAAAGCACAAGAGAATATTTTTTTAAAAAAAGGAACATTTCTGCCGGGGTTTGAACCAGGAATCTTCTGTTTACAAGGCAAGAGTTATGGCTGGGGTGTGATTCGGATAGGCGGTCGCCAGTAGTAAGGGTAACTAGAAGGCTTCAGAAAGAAACAGGGCAGTAAAACAGGTTTGTTTTTTAAAGTTGTTTGTTGTGTCTGCATATATGTGCATTTTGACCTTGAAGTTTTTATATATAAAATTAGCTTTGGGTATATATCAATATAGATGCACATACTTACACAAATATATGTATATATCTGCAGATAGATACAGAGCTTGATATCTATCTATCTATCTATCTATCTATCTATCTATCTATCTATCTATCTATCTAT